ACGAGATTAAACTGACACCTATACATAAATACCAGATGTTTTAAATAAAATAGCAATGCTGACCTACGAATGTCAATAGGCCTACGTCTATTGTCTCGCAGAAATAAATATGCTTGCATAGGAACACAAAGAAGTGTTCTGTCAAGATATTATTAAATAATCCGTTATATATGGGTAAAAAAAAACCCATCACTTCTATCGTGTGCAGTACTACTCTCATATCATCGTTTATAAGTTTAATATAACGTACACAAATCTAAGCTCAATTAATCTATGATTCCGTCGCACAAATTCAACTAGGTTCCTGAACCTTGGTATATGTTGGACGCAAAATCTTAATCTTCCTTATCGTCCCCCTTTTCATTGTTAAATCTTTAATATTAAGCGCGATTGAATGTACTTCGTCGATTTTCTTGGTATATGTTGGACGCAAAATCTTAATCTTCCTCATCCTCCCCCTTCTCATTGTTGAATCTTTAATATTAAGCGCGATGGGATGTACTTCATCGATTTTCTTTCCTTATTCATTCTTAAAGGATTCTCAATAAAATTTTTTTCCATGTAAAATATATATTTCATTTGGATGACCGTTAAACCATGTGACGTCTTTAATCTGCTACAGTTTTACTTGTTTTTAACATTCCTTACGAGAAAACTTACCTACATTTTACTGGATAAAACAACTTTCCTTATATTTATAATTTATACTTTGCTTAAGATTGAAACTTGTTTAAAGTTTTAATTTTTAGTTGTTAAAATTTTTAAAAACTTAAGGGGAAAGTACTTGATTAAGCGAACTGTACTGTACCAAACCGTAAAGATCGACATGTTTTTCCGGTTCAGTTTAGGTTTTTGCTCTAACAAAAGTGTCGGTTTTTACGGTTTTTGGTTTAGGGTTCAGTTTCGGTTCCAAGTTATAGAATCAACTATGAATGTCAAACCATTTAGTATAGGATAGAATCTAACGTATTAAGTTAGTTTAGTGTATCTGTTAGTGATTTATATCAGCTACTTATGTGTAGAATAGACATATTACCTTGCAATAAAAGATAATACATGTATATATTGAATATAATGGAAGAAATGATGACAGAAGCATCACCCCCTGGAATTTCTGAAGTGATCTTCAGTTCTTCCTTTCAAAGTATATATGTTTTTTAATCGCATTTAGAGATAAATGTATTTGCTTTGTATAGATCAGTGGTTCCGTTTGTAGGAACCACAAAGTTTAGGAATAATAAAGTGTATGATTATTATAATAAGCCTTATGCATCTCTGGTATAATGTATAATAAATTGTATAAATGCCCAGGTACATTATATAGGCTCTAAGATAGATATATTATTACTTGGAAATATTTTGTGGATATTTTCTAATAAGTGAGGTCTCAGTGAACAAATTACAAGCTATGTATTCATACCGATTAAAATTGATTCACAGATCATTTTTGACCACTTCGCAGATTAACGGTTGGTAACCACTAGCACAGATACATAAATATACGTGTATTATTGTATATATAATATATGTATATATATATGATTGTAAATAACAAGAATTTTATGTTTCTTGATTTATTAATAGTTATATAATTAATGTTTATTGTTTATTTTAATTACAATATTTAAACATCGATTAAATTAAGTTACGATTGGCTTGATTAATCATAAAGAATGTGTTTGCATTACAAAAAATCAATGCTGCAATTTTATAAAATTAATTTTGAAACACAATTCGCAAAGGAGTTACAATAAATTATCAAATACATCATGAGATATTTCCAATACTATTTAAAATATTTACACTTAGATTTTCGAATATACTAGAAACTTAAATTACATTGAAGAATGTCAAATTTTGTACATTTGCTTTTGCCGCAATATATAAGAATTACACATATATTATATAAAACTTTATGTACGCATTATCATGTGACAGCTTATTTATAATTACTAATATCGTGATTTGGTTATTATTATATATATAAAAAAATAAGTAAGAACCACTGGCTGGCTAAGTCTTTCCCGTTTTAAAATATAATGCAAGTTCAAACACAACTGTTATGTTTCTTTCCATTTCTATTGAGAGTTAAAAACATAGCATGTAACATATTTATTGAATAAATACTGGTATAATTGGTTAAAATACTATAATGTAATAAATTTATTGTGTATTACATATTGTCAGTTTAAAATTTTCTTTAAATATATAGTTTTGTTCTTATGCATTGTTACTTATGGAGCTCAGTTCTTTACTCACTCCTATCAATCATAGTTATATAGTCTTCACACGACACTAGCTAATGTTCATTAATAGCTTCTTGGACACTACAGATCCAGAAGCAATCTTTTAATTTTATTTACTTTTTCTTTTCGTGCTCAATCACATTCTGTCTGCTCTGTATTTCAATACCATTTTGTTCACATGAATTTTTATGTTTCATACTTGCACGTTTCTCTCAAATTGTTGATTATAGAGTTTTCGGCAAAAATGCCATGTGAATGCCAATTTAAAAACTCTCAGGACAGCTTTTTTAGTAATTCAGTAATGTGAAAAGCATATAACACTGCATCATAATTATGAATAAAGACAATGATGAATATAATTATAGTCACAATAAGGATGAAGTAATGATTCTGTTGTTGATAGTGATAGTGATAATGAACGCATAATGATCAAATTTTTCTTTAAACTCCCGATTATTATAATGTTCACAATGTTGATGATTACAGTGATTGTAATAATAATTATGATGTCAATTGTTATGACTTTGCTGACACTTTATTATGCTTTATATCGTTTTAGAATTCACAAAATATTTTATTACAAATTCATTTGCTATTATTGAATGTATCTTATATTAATATAAATATACTTAAACTATCTCTTAGTTTAGTTAAATATGCTGTTTACAAAATATCTGTGTATACACAACGTTTGATATCAAAAGCGACATAAAAGAGTATAGAGTGTTTTCAAGAAAAGTTAAACCCTCCATAGCTTCTAAATCATTTATTCAAATAGCTTGTCATACGCCTGTTCTAAATATTATTCGATTTTATAGAAGAATATTTTATATATCATGCATCATTTTCTTATAATCGGTCAATGAAAAAGCGTATTGTAACATCAAAAATGATATCTTCCATAGATATTGTTATTGAGAAAAGTTAAACCCAATATCTTATGAAGAATTTATCCAAACAGTTTGTTATACCCCTCTTCTAAATATTATTTTATATGATTTCATAGAAGAATATTTTATATATCATGCATCATCTTCTTATAATCGTTCAATGAAAAGAACTATTATAATAAATATTGAAAATGTTTATACAGAGATTTTCCTCAGAAATTTTAGGGTAATAGGGTAAGACTTAACAGCTACCCTATACTAAACAATAAATTGTTCATTTCAATAGAAGTAAAAAAGTATAATGGAACAATAAATAAGTATAGAATTTTTTACTATACTTATAAATATAGTATATAAGCTATAATAGAATAATACCAATAACAAACTAGAGCATATGTAAAGTAGCATTAATTGCCCAAATAATCACTTATTTAATTGATTTTAACCACAATTTATTGCTCATTAAGGTTTTCAATGCTGTTAATATACAGAAAAATGCTATAAGTATTACTTTATTTCATTTCTATAATCTGTTTGGTATATATGAACCTCATAATATTTTGTTTCATGGAGCAAGAACTCATTTTCCACATTTATGCCGCTTATGTTAACATTTCTCATTTAATGGCTTTAAATAATTATACATTATAAACTTGCATTTCAACCAATTATACATAAATTTATAGATACATACTAATTTCAACAATATTTTAGTGGTTAGTTAAATAAATACTATTTTAGGTATCCTTCATTATCAGTTAAGTTGTGTGTGTTAATATGTTATTTCAATTTAAGATTAGAATATGTAATAACTACTTAAGATACAGTTGTTCATGTACATCACATATAAATTGAACATTTAAAAGTAATTGTTACATACATTCGTGGGCCAGTGTGCATACAACAAATTTGAAAGAAAAATTATGTATTAAACCTAATAGAACTGTTTAGCTTCCTTAAACTGAACTTATATATACTATGTTAGTACTTAATTAAATATACATTGTTTACACAAATTAAAAAAGTGTTAGAAGTTAACATGAATAAAAATTTGCAATAAAACTAAATATAATTGATATCTAATTAAAACTAAAAGAAATCAATATATTCAACTAAAACAAATTTTTAATTTTAAGAGTTAAAGTGGTTTTAAATAAATTGAAACATTGGTTCTAAATACGCAAGAAGATGTTCTGATATTTCTTGCTAACATTTTTTGTTAACAGTGTGTTAATAGTAGTGAGCCTGCGCCAACAGCGATAAATGTTTTGAAATATGAACATAACTTCTTATAAATTAAGAATATAGCGCAGTATTAAATCCTCAAAATATTATTGGTACTGGCTACATCAATTTACAAGTTCGTTAACCGATTAATTATTGTGGTCGGTTTGCACTGTTTCTCGGTAACAAGGCTCATTAGTCAAGATGGTGAATACTATTGTTTTTATCACAAATAGTCTTATTTGATTTTGGAAATGAGACACAAACATCAAGAAAATATATCAAAAACTTGAAAGTATTTATTAAAATATATAAATTACACTCACTTCCATAATTACACACTATCATACATATGTGCACTTAGAACGCGTGTCCAATGACTAAGATGAATGGAATGATACTAATACCACTTTTGGTTTGCAACTCTAGGCATTCATTTTAACTCTACACTTCTTTCATAAAAAATAAGATATCTTAATTATTAACTTTAAGAATAAAAATTTAAATTTCTGGTAAAAATTTGAATATAAAAATACAACACAGAAGTCTAATTGATAACCTAAATGAACTTACGTTACGTTACGTTACTATTTCACTAAACGAAATCCTTAATCTTAGACGTTACTGGAGAGTACAAATTTTACGCAATATCGCTATCGTTTGAGGTGTTACTTTCGGAGTCGTTGGACAAGTGATCAGTACTAGCTGCCATAGTAGTTTGAAATCTCATGTCAGTATTAGCGAAACCTGCTAATACTGCAGCTGCTTCATCATATCTAGCATCAAATGAGTACTGTGCTTGATCTGGTAAACACTCTTGATTGCTGGGCATGCCTAATGATAAAGAGGATGACATTGTTGATGAGGATGTGGACGAACAGACTGACGACAGCGAATCTGAGGATGATGTTGAAGTTGTTGAATTCGACGTATCCACAAAAAGTGATAATCCCGCATTTGTTGTATCTATATTAATATTATTGTTATTATTGCTTAATGTTGCACTAAGATTTGTTAGTATAATAGCCGCATCAGTTCTTTCTACGTCCGCTGCTCGTTGATAGCTGTCGGGATTTGAACTACTCTCCGTAAAATGTTCTGGCATATTTACTGTGTTATTAAAAGCATAGTTATTAGTACTATGATTTACGACCTCATTTTCAATTGGATTAGACTCTAAACAATAGTCCTGAGCTGTTGTTGCTGTTATATTGGTGTTTTCGTTAAATGTGCAGCGATCATCTTCATTCTCATCGCTTTCCGAGCTGTAATTATCTGAAGTATATTTTGGAACTTCCGTTTTTATATTCTCGTTTTGTTCATTTTTTACTGTGCTACCAGCTGACACATTTAATTTTTCTTTTTCAATTTCTAATCGTCTTTTTAGTGCGCTTAAGAATTCTTCATCCTCTTCGCTCGTATAGTCACTTGAGGAAACTTTTCTTCTTTTCGATTTCTGATTATAAGCGGGTTGCAAATTTTGTTGCGCTGATCTTTTCACATTGCTCGCTTTTCTTTGAACAATTTTTCTAACCGCTGCTCTCTTCTTTTCATGCTGAGTATGATCGCTTTCGTCACTACTACTTGAGGAATAAAACGGTGTAGAAGTATCACTACCAACTGGTCGATTCTTTGGCTCACTACGAGCTCGTATGCTGCGTCTGCGACGGAGTCTACTTTTTACTTTGTTTTGTTCGTTCATATTTTTTTGCCAACGCTGACGTCCACTTGAACGCAATCCCGATGAAGTGCTTGCTCCAACGTTTATATTTTCGTTATTATTTTCAGGTTTATTATTTTTGC